GGATCTATGGAAAGAATACTTCGACAACTGAAAGCAATGGGTGAGTATTTGGAGCATTCCAGCATTGAAATTATTATCGAAAGTAGATTGCCAATTTGGATGTTAGACAAAGTTTACCAACAAAAAGGACCAGAAGTTCTGGTCGGCCACTAGACTCCGAAAATTCCTGCAGGAATTAGTCCAAAGAAATGAGGAAGTACAGAGAAGCTAGGCCTCATGTAGTGAGTACCACGAAAATCAACCGAGTCGAAGTTGAGTCACAACCCATGCAGTACCAAAAGAGAGACATCTGCTTTAGCCGCAATCAAGCAGCCCAATCCAAACGATAGTAAAAGCAACTTCATTTTGCAACGAGGATCAGTGGGATGATGAATGTCAAGTCTACCAAACAGCAAAGCAACGAATGGAGCGCTTGAAAACAATCGAGGAGTGCCTGAATTGCTTACAAAAGGGCCATATAACAAATACAAGTTTTTCCAGTTTAGTCCAAGTCTATATTCTCCTAGTGCGTTCAACGTGTCATTAAGTCATTCATGTATCATTGACAAAGAACTGTTGGCAATTTTACCTTCAAGCAGTTTTCCAATTGCAGTTATTCCTCCGTCGCTTTAACCTTAAATTTTTTGCACAGTTCTCCACTTCCAAATGGAAAGCTGTGTTGGCACCATACTTATTAGCTGGGAATCGATGGAGATATTCCAGATAGGAAACTTTTGCTCCCGACAACTTTTGCTCCAGCTTATTCAAGCATTACCGTTTATTTAACGATATTAAACGTTTAACATTATCGCTTTTTGTCCAGTTACCAGGTTCGTATTTTAAGCACAATATTCAAAAAGTGTTATGAAAATTGTGAAATTTCGTGTGTAGACACAGTCAATATTGGCTGACAACCGTTTACTGATAGACGAAGAAGTATTATATGTTACAAGAGTTTTCAGAGAATATTAAATATAAATTGATCACCAAGTTTGTTGAATTTATGCGTATCGGAGCGCACAGTTCCTTAGCTGATTTGAGCATGTGTTGTTGAGTGAGTAACTCAATAATTGGACTGTAGAAACTCCCCTGATTACTAGTCCGAATCCCCTTTATCGTGGATTTGTTTACAACAGTCCAAGAGGTTAGAACTACCTGACCCCAAGATAACTTAAAGTTCTTTGTTTTATGCCTACATTTGTTGGGAAATCATTAATCTGTGAACTCATTTCTCAGCGGTATAGATTAATTTATTCAAGATGTAATATTGTTCTTGCACAACATTACTAGTTAACAAAAAGGATGTGAAATATATATTTATATATTACGCGATGAATTGGTGCGCAGTGATGAATGAGTTATACAAAAAGCAAGTAATATGTGCGTAAAAACCGACATAGTTGTATCATGAAATTATTCATACAAAAAGTTTGCATTTACATTTGTTTTTTCTCTTTCATGCTTAAGGTTATGAGTCTGCTATCTATAAATCGTCTAAAGGAGCTTTGTTTGATGTTGAGATTTGCGCACATCCGGATGACAACGAATCTTATGCACATTAATGGGCATACTGTAGAGATATCTAATCTCATAAACATATTTTTATCCAATGGTGCATCTCTAGATTTCTGTTAAGCATTGCATTTCTTTCCTTTCTTCAAGCAATATATATCGTGATTGAAGCCACTTGTTTTTAATATAAGTTAATATAGATATTTAGATTTCTTGTTTTTAGTATAAGTTAATATAGATATTTAGATTTCTTGTTTTTAATATAAGTTAATATAGATATTTAGATTTCTCTGGCGGCTCTGAGGATACGTCAATTTGTTATGATTGTTTCGCTTCACACATTCCTTATATAAACATAAGAAATCCTAACACACATTCATTGTTATTAAAAACCCATCAGTCGGCATTCAGCTTCACACAACTCACCCTTTATTTTCTCCTAATTCATTAATTACTACTTACAAATTTCTCTCATTATTCTATTGTTATTAATCTGGACGTCATTTTATTGAAATTGGAATTAGTTTAAACTCATTTCTGTTGTATTTGTATCCGGACGATAATAAAGGACAAACTGCAATACTTTTCGAACACACAAGAACCAATACACTGTAATTCATTCCTCAAAACTTATTGCTT